GATATTCCTGAAGAAGCCCTGAGTTCGCAAGAGCTGTAAAAGGGTGCACAGTTACACACTCTGGGAGAGCAAATCAAGGCTGAGCAATGAGGCAGGGGTGTAAAAATAACAACTGAAGTGTATCCTGATGGTTCCCTGTTAATGGTGACACTTTTACAGCCTGGATTGCTGAGCAGAGCCTGGGGTTTGGTTATGTGATGAAAGTTTGGTCTTGGTCACGCTGGAGCTCCACCCAAAGCCAAACTCCAACCCCAGAGCAGCTGGAAATCTCCCTGAGGAGAGGTGAAAAGCTGGAAATCTCCCTGAGCTCTCAGGAGCTGGACTGAAATTTATTTTTGGGTCACCCACTGAAGCTTGGTAAATTGAGAGTTTTAATGCCTTTTTAATGAAAAAGATAAAATAATTTTATGTTCTGCCTCCCAGACCAAAGTAGCTGAATTAAGGAGGTTAAAGATGACCATGATTTCTTATGAAACTCAGAAATTCACCTTGATCTTAATCCATTTCGTTTAAATCTTTACAAGATTATAAAAGGCTTTTTGCTCAGTTGGATCTTATAATTCAAATACTGTAAATCTCTAATGGACCAAGTCAGAAAAAACCCTTCATTTCATGTTTCATACCGTGATAAAGCAGAGAAATGCTTTGTATAGATTTGCTGTGTCAGTAAATGCCAGTGTTTATTCTTTGCTCGTTTCTCTCACGTTTCCCCATTTTAAAACTTTGACCGGTACTGGGGATTTTGTTTTTCTTTTATTGTTTGTTTGTTTGTTTTCCCTGGTTCAATAATTCTCGTCTCTGTTGATTCAGGATTGGCACACAAATGGATACACTTCCCTACAAATATTGGGAAAGCCAAACTATCATATGATCCTATTTTCCACACTTAAGTCTTGGGAATCCTTGACCTTGTGCATGTATTTTGTAAGAATTGTTGAGGAGGGATTGCTCAGACGCTCTGTTTGCAGACCAAGTGGCAGCTGCAACACTCCCCAAACAGACTGAAAATACAAAATGCCCTCAGCCAGCCTTCCCTGGGCTGGGAGCTGGGCAAGCTGGCAGCTGTAAGCCTGGCTTGCACTTGTGGATGCTGCAGGATCGCACTGGAAGCGTGGGAAAAGGGATAACTGAGCTCGTGGGAGTTGGTCTCTCTTATCCTGTACTTGGACTGTGCTTGTGAGAAGCTCTCCAGGAGATGGAAACCACTGGAACAGCTGAATCCAAATACTCCTTTCTCTCTTCCCCTTTAGCTTGCTTTGTTCCATCTGCTGCAGTCACTGCACCCTCACTGCCCACGTCCAGCCTTCTTCTTCCTTCCTCCTCACTTTTACACAGCTCTCATTAAACTTGTTTCCTCACCTTGGCATTGCCTTGAGAGAACAGATCAAAGGAAAACGTGCAGGATAAATTGCCTGTTTGGCCAAACATCCCTCTTTGTTGGGTGCTGGAGGGAACGTTTGACCCTGCCTGAGCTGAGGGCTGCACGACCTGTCCCAACCACCTCTGCTCAGCCCTTAAATTACACACCACCAGCTCTGGCTGAAGGTGGAACATTTAGCAGAAATTTAGTGTATTTTGTCTCACTTACATTTTTCCTTCTGATCTTTCTGTTAAATCAGGCGGTAAGTCTGGTGTTATTTTTTTGTCTAGCACGAGGTGAGGGGGAACATCAAGATTGATGTGTATGAAGGAGATGAAAAGATGGAGCTCTGCTTAATGAAAATGTGTAGAAGGAGATGAAAATATGTAGCTCCTGCATTGTCTACAGAGCCTTAATGCTCTTGATTTGGTGAAGGCAATTTGGAAAAGTCAAGGATGAAGGAATCTGCTCACTTTTCCTGCTTTGCTTGTTTCATGTGTGCAGAGTGCATACTTTGCCTAAATGCTACTCCTTATTTAAAGTTAAATAAGTTTCAAGCTTCTTTTAATAAGATTACACATCTGGTAGGTGTATGTGTACAAGTTTGGGAGGGCTGCAGGATGAGCAACAGTTTCAGCACTTCCATGAAATAAACACAGTGATTATACTATAAAAATGTTGGCTAAGATCTGTCAACATTTGATCTGGCACAGTTCTTTGTTAAAATATTCAAGATTTTAAAAAAACTATTTGCTATGCGGCTTTATAAAGTGCTTATTTCATTTATTTAGTATGTCTGGTGTTATGAGGTGTTGTGTGTAAAATGAAATTTGTGATGCGTGTTCTTGTTTCTTAAAACAGGCCCTTTTCCAGAGAGATTTTATTGGAAAAATATTTTAAATTTAAATACTTTCAATTGAAACTTTTCACTGTTATTTCCAGTGGAAACTTGTCTCTCCAGAACCTCTGATTCCAAGATATGACCACTGGAAAAGAGCAGAATTTGCCTTTCAGAGTTGCAGGAATCAGGGATGTGTTTTAGAATAAGTCAGTTAATATTTGGTGGTATTTTCACCACTTGGAGAAGATGCTTTAGTGGTGGTGCTTATTGTGCTTTCACTCTGTTCTCATGTACCATAACTGCTTTACAGAAGAGTTTTTGGGGGGGGGTTTTTGTTTGTTTATGCTCTTCTCTTGGGTTGTATATCTAATTTGTATGTGTTCCCTACCAGCTTTGCAGAATCTCACTCAGCTATCAGATGTTTTCCCGAGGGAATGTGGGCAGCCTCTCCTCTGGGGCTGATTCTGGTAAGATTGGTCAAAGATAACTGGGGGAAAACTTGGCAACCCCTCCTGTTTGCTCTGGCATTGATCCATATTGCTTAGGCTTTATTCTGTATTTATCCACAGCCCTTCGCCTCAGTCCCACTCAACTTTCTTGCACACCTTTCCTCATTTGTGCTGAAAACATTTACAGCTCTCTTTTTGTAAATTGCATTTTGACTGCAAGTTGCACCGAGAGCCCAGTGACGTCAAAGGTACAAAAATCAAATCAGGATCTTTAAAATCAGGCTTTTTGTCTACCCGATACATTTTCAAAGGCTGCTTGGGGTAATTTTGAAAGACTTTTTAAAGTAGTGGAAATGAGTTTGTGAGTAACTGATACTGCTTGACTCCTTTACACAGAGTTTTTGGGAATTGCTGCTTTTACTGCCATAGGCCAGGAGTCAGACTTTGTGCTGTTAACCTCTAAACATAATTGCACGTTTTCCAAGGCAGAAAATGGTTTGATAGCAAATCTCTTGTATGTTCTGGCTGCCTGTGCAGGGGTAAAGGTTTGTAAGTAGAAGCCAGTGCTGAGCATGGCACATGTAGTCCAATCATTGCACAAACAACACAAAGTCCATTCATTATATCAGCAGAGGCTTGTTTAGATCTTACTTTCTGCCTTCTGAGATTTCTGTTTCTATGAACTTTACATTATTGTCAAGAGTGGTTGTAACTGCTGATACTCGGATTTTGTTGTTCCCACAGTGCACTTTCCAAAAGCTGGTGTTTTATTTCAGGCTCTGAGTACTGTGGAACTCAATTTAGACAAAGATCATGCTCTCTTACTAATTAATGGAAAGAGATTCCCTCGTCTCAGGGGTGATTCAGGCACTTGGATCAGCTTCTTTCCCTGCCTCACCTTCTGCCTGGCACAGCCAAAATCTGAGTCCACTCAGGTAATTCCATTTACCCTTGAACTCCCAGAACTGCTTTAATAAGCTGGAGCTTAATACTTTGACACACAAAAATGCACATCTCCCTTGAGGCCTTGAGTCTGGATCCTGTAATTTTATTCCCTTATGGTGTATGGCCCTTTACTGAGTCCAGCTGGCTGAGGCTGCTTTAAAAAGGTGCCAGGATCTTGTCTGGGATTAAAACCAGCTTTGCATCATGACCAGTTCACGTGGCTGCTGTTCCTGCAAGCCAGACTTGCATAAGCAACCATCCAACTCTCCCCTTTTCCCTGCTTGCTTGTCCCACCTTCCTCACCTGGTTTTATTTGGAATCCAGACTCTCAGCTGGGAAGGGCAGCTCTCTGACCCCCAAAACATCCCAGGGTGCTTAGAAACACAATGCAACTTTCTGAATAAGCTCCAAAAATTGGAATACAAACTTCTCTCTCTGGATCAAGGATTAGGAAGTAAAAAAATGCATTTTACTTAATTCAGTGAAAAAAAAAAACCAACAAAGACAAACCCAAACAAACAAAAAACCCAAAACAAAACAAAAACCAAAAACTCAAATCCATTTTTTAATGGATTAGGTTTATGTTTACACACACTGAGAAGAACAGCTAAGCAGAGCTGACATACCATGGAGAAATATTCATCAACTGCAGAAATTCTGAAATTGGTTCTATCAATTATAAGAGCAATTTAGTAATTAATTATAATTGATGTTTATGATTGATATGAATTATATTGGAGCCAAATTAATGCTGTGTTTTGCAAAGCCTCTGAACTGAGGTTTCTCAGCCTTGCTCAATCAAATATTTTATCTGCAACTTTTTATTTGGTTTAGCTGCAACAGCAACTTTTCTATTTGACCAAAGGTCTGTAAATAACTTATCTTACTTTTGGTTTATCTTTCTCTAGTATGATCCTAGTTTTTACGTGGATAGGAGTACCAAGCAGTAAAATAAGAAATAAGTGTCTCTTAATATATAGAATTGGTGTAATAGTAGCAGCTTTGAGAAGTGAAGACAAAGAATGTGGCTCGAAAGAGTACAGGCATCAAGTTTGAGAACAGTAATGGAAACACATTTATATTTATTTATTTATTAATTTGTCAGTTCATTATTTTTACATTATTCAACTCATTTGTAGTTTTTTATAATTTATTATGATTTAAACACATCGCTGGAACAAATTCAAACTGCAGTTTCCAGTGACTTCAAATAAGCAAACGTTGTACTGAACATTAAACCCCCCACATGAGGAGAAGCTAAGAGAACGTGGTCAGAGGACTCTGCCATGGAGTGAGGTGTGTGCAGCTGCACCAGTCCAGGCTCAGGAATGCTCAGGCACATTGAGCAAAGAGCTGCTCCCTGTTCCAACAGTTCACCTTCTGCTTGCCCTCCCCACTTGTAACAGATCGGAACCAAAACCCCAGGAAAGACCAGCAGTAAAATTCAGGTGGCTTCATCCCTATTGGAATGGTATCCTTCAGTTCTTGCTCATTCTCCTCTGCCAGAGAGTCCCTCGTGGCTCCTGCTCCTGGGTCTGCTGGGAATGCAGACATGGCAGGTTCTGGATGGCCCCACCGATCCTGGGCTCCTTATTTGTGCAGGTAGGCGTCGAGCCAGAGCTCTCCTGAGCTTTTCAGGGAGCTGGAGAGGGAGAGAGAGGACACATTGCTCAGGGGAGGGTTGGTGAGGGCCTCCTGCAATGCTTGGTGTGTGCTGTACTCACTGCACGATGTCTGCAAAGGCCGTCAGCAGGGGCTTGCACTGGTACTCCAGGCCGTGCTTGGCACACAGGGACCTCACCAGAGGGGCCACCTTCCAGTAGTTGTGTCTTGGCATCGTGGGAAACAGGCTGTGAACATGAGACAGGCAGGTTCTCTCCCAGTGCCCTATGAGAAATCCTGCCTTTCTCGTGTCCACACCCATTCACACTTCTCAGGAATCGCCCAGCTCGCACTGAGCAGGGTCTGGAGCTGCTCCCAGCTCTTCTTTCTTTTATGTCTTACATGACTTTTCCTGCTTTTCCCCCTCTTTTTTTTCCCCCCAGTTTGTCTCTAGCATCTCCAAAACAATTTCTCCAAATGAAGTGCTGCTTATAGAAGGAACTACTTTCCCCCTCTGCTCTTTCCAGAATTAACCATCTGCATGGCACAGAGAAGGAGGTGAGCCCGTGCTTCTCCTTCTCTAAAGTGGCAGCATAAATAGTCAGCATAGGTGGGCTTAAACCACTGTGGCAGGGTATAAACAGGTGATGTAACATGGATATTTTCCCTAATCCTTACAAGCTACTGCTTGGGATAGACTGTGTTGCTGCCCATCTTCCATTTTCACTTGTCATCCCTGTGGTTCTCTTCAGGGGTTTCAGTCCTTTTAAAGACAAACTCACTGGTGCTCCACAACTATTTGTAGAATTCAGAGCAAAGAGGAAAAGGGAAAAGAAAAAAAAAAGATAAGAAAGAATAGTTTTAAATAAAAGGAGGGAAGAAAATTGCTTCTTGGTATGTGTACTCACTGATGTTCAATCTGGAAGTTCAGATGCCCAGTGAACCAGTCATTGAACAGTGACTGCTCGACGTTGCACGTTGCCTGGAGCTGGAGGAGGGCAAAGGAAAGCAGAGTTAGTCCAGGTGAGTAACTGCAGCTGTCTGGTCTCTGAAGAGCACAGTGCCCTGTGCTGCCTCCAGCCAGGGATCATAACCCTGCTGCAGCTCTGTGGGCCAGCAGATGCACAGACTGGCTAAACTGCACCATGGTAAAACCAGGAGCTGGCTCTTGCAGTGAGGGAGGAGATGGGTGTGTTTGGGAACTGGAGCTGGGACCTGGATTTGAATTTAGGTTGCCCATGAATGTGTCCCTGCTGTGCTCCTTTACCATTTCCAGGAGTGAATCCAGCACCCTGCTAACCTTCACTTCCCAACAGGTTTCACCCCACATCCACAGGAGTCTTCCTTATCTTGTGGTTGTAATTTGTACCTGTATGGCCACAGTTCTTAAGAACAGAAAAATCTTTTACCTGAGTCGACATCCAGTCCAAGTTCTTGTCGTAGTAAATATCCATAGGGATGTGGTTCATCTGGGAAACCCAGACAAACCAGCTGCTCTCCAGCATCCTGTGCAACCAGAGCAGAGCCAGAATCCAGTGTCAGGGAAGAGGGTCAGTGAGGAGCCATAAAATAACAGCATAGCCAGACTCAGAAAGGCAGGGCTGAACCTCAGCCTTGCTAATCCAGCGCCTGGCAGAACTTCCAAAAGCTGGAAGTGTCATACTTCCTGGTGAAACTCAGGATTGTTTAATGGCTTTTAACACTAACATAGCTTGTGTGCAGTTTGTTTTCTCTGCAGCCAAGGACCAAACTGATTAAAATCAGTGAAATGGTCCAAGTGGAGAGTGTGTTGTCCCTTCAAGCCTGGGCATTTGCAAGCCCAGGCTAAGCTGTTCTGGTTAAATGTTGTCTTTAACCAGTAGCAGACCCAGCAGCCAAAGCACTGGATGTAATTTAAGGTAAGTATTTCTCAATTTGGTCAGCACACAGTGAAGTCTCTTTGCTGCCACAGCAACCTAAAACTTCCCCTGGCAGCTGAGCAGGTGAGTGTTTGTTTAACCTGGTGGAATTGAAACACTAAGCAAAAAATGAGGTGGTAAAGGAGAATGTGGTAAGATGAGCAAAGGCAGACAAAGGCAGGCAGGTACAGATGGAAAGAATGTCTAGAGGAAGGCTAAAGAGACATCACCTGAATATAAAATAATATGCCAGGACACTCTTAATTTCTAATAATGATCCATAAGTATAAAAGAATCTGATGTAGAAGGTCATCATCCAGGCCAAGTCCTACGAGAAACAGAGACAACAAGTAAAGAAAAAAAAAAAGTGAATTACTTAAATTGCTTAAATCTTTGTAAGCTTCATTTATAGATGCAAGAGAATAATTTACATTCAGATGCTATAGTTTTGGGTTTTTTTCTGAATGGAATAATCTGGAGCAATTCAAGTTAACACAAGTTAATGACACTTTTTCATGGCTTGTATAAGAGATGAATCTGAGCTCTCACATCCAGTAAGGAGACTTTTATGGCCACAGCTTTTCCACAGAGCTCAGGAGGTGGAAGGACCCCAGCTGACCCCTTTTTGTCACACAAGGAGCAGTACTTACCACCCAATACCCTTTAGTGTAAGCAATGTAGAACGTGTGGCAGTGGAAGTAGGTGGGAAACAGGAGCGGAGGAAGAGCTGGAAGGAAAAATCCATCATCACTGGGAATGTCATGGACTGAAGGACTGGGTCTGTCCACTGATCTGCTTACAAACCTCAGGCTTCATTTTAGGCTTTTAACTGGGGAACAGCTGCAAATGAGTATTTTGGGGCATGGTTTCCACAGCCCAAAGCTCATCTGGCTCCCCATTCTTCTGTACAAAACAAGGAACAGTGGCAATACACAGGAAATCCCTCACCCACCAGGGATTTGGGGTGGGAGAACTCCAAATTCAACCTTCCAAATAGACATCTCACTTGCAAAGAAAACCCCCAAACCCACAGAAAGCCCACAGACTGTTATTTAAATTGGAACAGTACTGAAAGAGGGGGTATGAGATCATAACCCAGAGCAAGCGTGGAGATCAGGGCACTTATGGGAGAAATTCGGAGTTTTTCACTCTCCTCTCTTTGTATAGTTTATTAACCCTCATTATACAGCTCCCAAACAGCCCCTGGAGCCTCATCTCAACTTCCCTAATTAGGGAGTTAAGAGACTTTCTCCCTTTCTCTGTCTACATAGCTGTGCAGCTTATTATTGCAAAGCCATACAATTTTAAGATGACCTGGTATAGGGGTACCCCCCTGCTTTTTCTACTCTGAAACAAAGAAAGAACATTTGGCTAAAAATTCTTAAACCAAATCAATGTGTTTCAAGTCAAAAAGGGCACAGAAGCCTGATCTCACCCAGATATGATAATTCAGGCTGGAAAGGACCTGAGGATCTTGAAGCAGCACCAGCTCTGAGGTCAGAGCAGTGACTTGGGGTTTGATCCAGTCAGGTCTTCAGCTGTTCCAAACACTAGGTTATGATGTTTTTATTGCGCACTTTGACACGGGTACCCTCATTCTGCTGCATTTCTACAGGCCAAAAGTAGAATCTGCAAACCCCATTAACACCCCTCATGGCACTGCAGGAGAATGGAGATACTCACTGATGAAGAAGTATTTGTGTTGGTGGTTGTAGGGCATGTACTTCTTCTTTTTGATCCCAAGCTAGGAAAAACCAGGAAAACATATTACTGAGTGGCAACCAGGAAATTTGCACAGGTAACTTGCTCTTTTCCATTTATTTTCCAGAGGCACCCTCTTGCAGACTTCCCACAGCCCTTATTCCTTCTGTCTCCCTCCTATTAGTTTACAAACATAATATTATCTATAAACCCTCATTGCATAAACGCAGGGATTTGATGCCTTTTATCCATTAAAAGATGGTGTGATCTGTAAGTTATGGTAAAAAGAACACTGAGCATGGGCAGAGGTGAATTTTAGCAGGTGAATTTCCTTGGGTTTACGTTCTTGCCACATTCGTAATTAGTTTTGTGAGGAATTAGATATTTCAAGGCTAAATTGTATCATCAGTCAAAAATAGTTGTATGTGTTTTCTCTCAATTTCCCCCCCTGCTGTCTGAGTTATTGACTCCTGCTGCTCCTGTCACTGCAAGGCTTCTGCCTTCTCCTGGCAGGTACAGCCAAAGGCACCTGCATCTCTGAGCCTCAGACATGAATAGAAATGGTAATGTAAATACAATATCAAAAAGGCCAAGTGCAGACATGCTTTATCTTACTGTTTACAGGTTATCCAATAATCATAAATTACTGAGTTGGTGTTCCAGGTCATTGAGTTTCTGTAACCATTAACAGTCCTTTTGCTCATGGATTTTCCACCCTAGCATGATGCATGTACACAGTGTCTAATTTATTTACAGCTTGTCAGCTGTTTATAAGATATTATGTGTGGACTGTGAAGAAAGCAGACCCCATCTTTTCACAGAAACAGCCATCACATCTCACTTTTAGATCTTTATGGTCCAGCATGGTGTTGTTGACTGGAGTGTTCTCCCCCCAAACACACACTGACCTCCACCGAGAGTTTCTTGCCCAGAGTGAACAGGAAGGGGTGCATATCGATGTCAGGGTCTTTGTGGAAGCAGTTGGGTTTGGAGTGGTGCTGGGAGTGCAGAAGAGTCCACCACTTGGCTGATGCCCCCTTTTTGAGTGAAGAACAAAGTGTAAAAGGTACGATGCTTTCAGAGCCAGATTCTCCCCAGTTCCCCTCCTTCCCCCAGTGCTGAACAGGACCCCCCACAGAGCCTTCAGAACGCACATTTGTACAGGAAAACCATCCAATCTCAGCACTTTTCCAGGGTCAGGTACTTACAATCAAGTGGCACATCACAAACTTGTGCAGCAAGCGGTTCCACTTGGTCTTCCTGAACACTGAAAGGTGTCCTAAATCATGCTGTAGCCATGAAGCCTGGACCTGGAAGAGGAAGAAGAAAACTTTGGGAGGGGAGAAGACCAGGATGGTGCCACATCCATCCTTCTTTGCTTCGAAATACCCAGATTTACTTCTCTGACACTGCTCCGAAGTCGCCATCAGAAAGGGACTGTGAAATCCCGATGCTCTGAAGGCTTTCCCAAGAACATATCTCACTGAAAGGATCCCAGAGTAAGTTTAGTGGGAGCCTCCCACGTGCAGACTTTCTTATTTACATCCATACAGTTGTTGTCTTCTTATGACAAAGGAGGACAGTGCCAAGTCAGGAAATGGAGGGCTAGGGAATGCAAGTGGCTGGAAGTTGATGGAAGTCCTTGAGCACATTCTGTGGGCTTACCTGGGAAATGGTCAGTGCCAGCAGGGAGACAACAAAAGGCATTAAGGATGTCCCAAAGTAGAAGAGAATGAGCCAGGCAGCAGAATCCAGCAGCAGGATGTGAGCAAGGTGCAGGAAGAAGAAGAGCTGGTTTGGCTCCAGAAGTCCCATTTTCTCAACGGTGTCACGCAATTCCCGGAAATCTTTCACCAGCATTTCCTGGGGGAAGCACCAGGGTCACACATTCTCTGGTTTTAGATGGCACTGCAGCCTTCAAAACTCAAAAAAAACACTTGAGGAAATAAAGAGCAAAGGCTCTGGCTAGAAGGGAAGACCTGGGCTGGCACACAAATAAACCATCACAGCTCTCTTACAGCTTCTCTGTGTCTTTGCTGAGGTGCACAGAGCAAAGAAGCCATTCCAATTTCTGTACCCCCAGCCCCTAGGACTAATCTTTGGTGCTTCTTCCATCGGCTCCTCGGCAGGGGCAGAGCAGCACAGCAGCTCGGGCAGAGGTTCTGTCTAGGGGAAGTTGTGCTTTATGTGCATGAGCTTCACATGCCACCTCGTGGTAGGTCTTTGGATGAAATTATTCCTCTTCATTTACACCTTCACTTTACCCTTCCCGGGATTGACAGAGAGGAGGGTTGAATTTCTCTGTTAAAAATCTGCCCCTCCAGCCTAGCTGCCCCCCAGCTAAACAAGAGTTACTGTGATAAGGAAAAAAATAATCGTGGGGAATCTCATTCTCAACCACAGGATGTGGATTTAGTCTCATATTCATGCATGGTTTCTAAGTGGTAGCACAAAAATTGGGAAGATACAGGAGGAGAGGGTCTAATCTCAGAGGATATTTTCAATCTGCCTTTGATCTGATTTATGAGGACAGACTTACATTTTTATGGGGCTCAATACTGGGTTGGTCTGGTGCCAGCTCCCCAATCTGCAGTGGCTTCAAGTACTTGCTCACCAGCACCTTGTCAACATGGAATGCCACAAAGGCATCCTGCAAATGCACAGGAGTAAAGGAAGAGGTAAGAAACCCAAATTCCAGGTGACAAACCCCAATCTGCTGTGCATGGCAAGACATTCCCTGTGGAGGAACCACAATAGCATTTATCTTTCTAACTCACCAAGCTTTTGCTGCCTTTGCCTTCTCATGTTTGTCCTAAGCTCTTAAATGAGATGGTATTTCAGAAGAGGGCTATTGTCCACTGTTGCAATTCCTGCAGGTACCCAAGCTCCACAGTACAAAATTAAATGAATTCCCACCATATGCCTAAATCAGTCTTGTGAGTATCACCCTGACTAACACTGTGGCATTAATTATCCTCATTTTTCCATCCCTCAGGTTTCTTTGCTTACTGAGCCCCTTCTGTGTTTTCCATCCTCTCCTGAGTTGCCACCTTTCATGGCTTTCTGCTCTTGGGTAAAATCTTCCAGTCAAACAAAGACAATTTCTTAATTTTTCATGAGCCTCAAACATCTGTTATACATGGGAGACCAGGAACTATTTGTCTGGGGATTTTTTTTTTCTTTCAAAGAACACAGCAAAGAAACAATCACATTTGTCTCATCTTTGTCTAGATGTTAATTTACTACTATTTTCTACTCCTGCATAAACTAAAAGGCAAGAACTCCAAGGAATTTCCTGAATGGTTCTCTGTGCATTTACCACAAGTTTCCACGGCATTAAACCAACAAGACAAGCAAACCTGATGAGCAGAAGTGTTTTTGCCCACACACCAACTCCCCAGTCGTTGAGCACCTCTTAACTGGCCAGTCCTTTCCATTCTGCTCACTCCAGAGGTCAGAGGGACCACAAGCAATAATTACAGAAACTTTTCTGGATGCCAGCCTGTAAAAGCCCTGCTGTCTTTATTTTTCCCCCACCTTATGCTGGGGGGCATTTAGGAGGGATAGAATTTAGGAAGGATGTTTCTGGAAGCAGCTCCTGTGGCAGCTACCCCACTTTCCCCTGCAATCACTGCAGCTCACAGTTGCTGTACAAGCAAAATCAGGAGATAAGAGTAATCCTGAAGGCTTAAGCATCATAGAACTAGATAAAACTAGACAAGATTGCTCAGAGTCCCATCCAACCTGACCTTGAACACTTCCAGGGATGGGGCAGCCACCGCTTCTCTGGGCAACCTGTGCCAGGGCCTGCCCACCCTCGGTGTAAAAATATCTTCCTGACATCTAATCTAAATCTACTCTCTTTTAGTTTACAGCTATTCCCCCTTTGTCCCGTCACTCCAGGCCCTTGTCCAAAGCCTCTTTCCAGCTCTCTTGGAACCCCTTTAGGACTGAAAGAGGCTTTAAGATCTCCCTGGAGCTTTCTCCTCTCCAGGCTGCACCCCCCGGCTCTCCCAGCGTGTTTCCATAGCAGAGGCGCTCCAGCGCTCGGAGCATCTCCAGCGCTCGGAGCATCTCCAGCGCTCGGAGCATCTCCAGCGCTCGGAGCATCTCCAGCGCTCGGAGCATCTCCAGCGCTCGGAGCACCTCCAGCCCTCGGAGCATCTCCAGCGCTTGGAGCATCTCCAGCGCTCGGAGCATCTCCAGCGCTCGGAGCACCTCCAGCCCTCGGAGCATCCCCAGCGCTCGGAGCATCTCCGTGTCCTCCTGAGAGCCGCTTCCAGTACCTGAAGGGGCTCCGAGAGCGCGGGGCTGGGGAGGTTCGTGCGGGGCAGTGACGCTGCACTCCCCGACCCTGTTCCACACCCTGAGCATCCCCACATCCCGCAGTCACTCCCCGGTCCCTCCCTGCTCGGCCCCCGCATCCCGGGGCGTTCCCGGCCCGTCCATCCCGGCGCCCTCACCGTGGCGTCCTGCCCGGCGTGGCTGACGAGCAGCCGGGCCCCTCCCGGGTGCCTCCGGCAGAAGCGGCTGATGTCGTACACCTTCCTGTCGATCACCAGCCAGCGCTCCTGCGGGACCGACCCCCGCCCGCTCCGCTGACCGATCTCCTCCCAGGTGAAGCGCCGCAGCCCTGCAGCATCCCCGTCCCCATCCCTATCCCTGTCCCCATCCTTATCCCCATCCCCATCCCCGTCCCCATCCCCGTCCCCGTCCCCGTCCCTATGCCCGTCCCTATCCCTATCCCTATCCCTATCCCTATCCCTATCCCTATCCCTATCCCTATCCCTAAAGCCATCCCCATCCCTGTCCCTGTCCCTGTCCCTGTCCCCATCCCTATCCTGCACCGCCCCGCCACCCCCGATTCCTGCCATCCTCCCTCCTTCCCTGCCTTCCATCCCTCCAGCCCCGCATCCCTCTCCTCCGTGCCATTTAAGGGCGGGACCCGCCCCGGCCCCCCTGCCCCCGTCCCGCCTCCCTCAGCTTCTCCATGAGCTCCGGGCGCTCCGGGTTGGGTTTGTCCCCCCAAAATCCCCCTTTCCCTGCCCCGGTTCTGCACCCCCAGAGCATCCCCAGCACCCAAAGCCCTGCGGTACCTGTAGGTGGGGGTACCTGACTCTTTAGGGGGGCTCAGCAAGCTCATTCTGCTCCCAGTACAGGCTCAGACGGGCAAAACTTCCCTTAAAATACACCCCTGATTAACCAGAAATGTAATATTGCTCTGCAGTTTAGCTGTGATGTTACAGTCCCTGAAACCCTGGGATAAAACGTGAATTAAGCACATTCTCATGCACAGTTAAGAAAATCCCAACCCAAACACACCAATCTCCAGGAAACTCAGTATTATATTTATCACCTGATGAAACCCAGTGTTTCTCCAGCACTCACAGCAAAGAGGGAGCAGAGAGCAGGGGCCTCCACAGAGCCCTGGGCAGTAATAACCCTTGGAGCTTGCACTGGGTGCTTCTGTCACCTGGGATAAACCTGGGATGGCACACATGGAATGCTGGACCAGGTTCTGATGGGAGACTGGTTTTTTTTCCCTCTGCCTGCCCCCTTCTTGTTTGTAGAATTATGAGTAAACTATTGACTTGGAGACTCCAGGAAATGAGTATCAATTGCAAAACAACACTTGGTTCCACTTTTCCTATCTTCCTAAACAGTCACAGCATCTACATAATTTTCTGTTTTCAAAACAGACCACAAGTTTGAAAACATAAAGCTGTGATTGACTCAATGATTTCTTTGTTCCACAGAAAACCACATGTTAGAACCCACATCAGCGGCAACCCAGATGGAGGAGCCCACAATTAGGACAGAGCTTTCAAAGGGTGTGATCAAAGCTGTAGTTAAGTTTATCTGAGTTACTGTCTTTGGTGATTAATTTGAATTAACTCCTTTACATTTATAATATTTCTCACGCATCTGCTTGCCTTTTTTTTTTTCCTCAGTGCTCCTTTGCTCTTGAGTCTGCTTGGGCTGGTAAAGCTCTCACTCAGTAAGGATTCTGCAGTTTAAGTTTCAGGTAAGAAATGGTGATGCAAAGAACCAGGAGAAATCTAATCCCAGTTATCACAATTAAATTGTTACACAGTGTTTATGGTTCTTCCCCTTAATAGGAAGGTGTGAAAATCCTAAAGCTGGTTTCTCAGCACAGCTCCCAAAGTCAGCCAGTGCAATAAGATACCTTAAAAAGAAGTTTAATAGCTGCTGTCATCAGTCTGTATCTTTGCTTCTCCCCTGCAGGCAGCCAGGAAGCACCTTTTCCTTCTCATTCCTGGGCTTTGCCATCCCTTTAGGTTCACATTTGGTGCTTTTTATAGACCATGTTTTTATAACATTTGAGGTGAGCCATCTCCTGCCCACCAGCACACACCCTGGGAAGGGCAGCACAGCTTGTTCCTTTTAGCTGCCCTCCTACACTGAACAATCAATTTTGAATATTCTGGAGAAAAGGAGGAAGAGTTCAGCCCCTCCTTGGCCTGTGTTCATACCTCCTTAGCTGCTTCATAGAATCATTAAGGTTGGAAAAGACCTCTGAGATCATCAAGTCCAGACTTTCTCTGATCCTAAAATCCTGCACAAAGTTAAACAGCTCCAGTGACATCACTGAGAGATCTCCATGTTTTTCCCCACCTCTCCAAGCAGGAGATGGAGTGTGTTTCTTGATGGCCAGGACAATCCAACAACTCACAAGATAAATGAATCTTCTTGAAGTTTTCTATTTTCAGTGACTCAGAAGCTGCTGAGTAAAATAGAAAATGATCTCCTTTTCCTGCCATCCGTGGTGTGAGGCTGCAGCTGCCCCAGGGCAGTGAGAAAAGCAGGGAAAAGCTTTTTTCCCCAAAGGTTTTTGGTGCATGGAGTACACAAAATAACCCCAAACACCACCTTTCAGTGCAAAATTCCTGTACCTAAGGGAGAGCTGGAGAGGGACTTTTTACAGGGGCATGGAGGGACAGAACAGCGGGGATGTCTTCAAACTGACATTTGGGAGCAGAGTTAGATGGGAAATTAGGGAGAAATCCTTCCCTGGGAGGGTGGGCAGGCCCTGGCACAGGGTACCCAGAGGAGCTGTGGCTGCCCCATCCCTGGAAGTGTCCAAGGCCAGGTTGGACAGGGCTTGGAGCGACCTGGAAGTGAAAATATCAGGCAACACCGAGAACCTGGGGATTTCAGCAGGCAGGCAAGAGCTTGGCTGGAGCTTGAGATTTTAAGAAGTGCCCTCAAGCACCTAAAACAGTAGCAAGTTGGTAAGACCTTTCATTGATTATGTCAACCCCCTGGAGAACTGGAGCTTTAATTGCTTCAGAGTGAACCACATGACATGCTGAGAACAGGAACTGCTCCGTGGGTTGCAGGACACTCCTGACATTGTTGTTATGCAGATATTGCTCTGATAGAGATGCTGATAGCAGCAGTAAGGTCTGTTGTATCAGCAGGTGCTAACAAAGGAAGAATACATTCAAGAACAAACCCTTTATTAATCTGCTCCACAGCTCTTGCACCGAGTCCAGCTGCTCATTTTTCTACTGGAACCCCACATTAAGCTAAACTTAAGCATTTCCAGTCTTACAAGCACGGTTGTTTTGCAATCTGTCTTTTCACAATAAAGATCTCGGCTGCTAAAAAGATAAACATCAAATTGTAACTTTACATCTAGCCCCTATCCACTTGTTCTCTCACACATCCCATGTTTTTATGCTCTGTAATCCATTTTGCTTCTCCTTGCAGCAGGGTAAAGTGGGTCCAAACCTGCATGATGGTCCCTTCTGGAATATTTGTCTTAATAAATATGTCATCAAGCCTAAATTTAAAAAAACCAAAATATTTGGGGCAAGGCTACATGGATCTTTTATGCAGGTTAAGATCTGATTTTTCCAAACTGAGCTGTTGCACTTCCTAAGTGATTAATACATTTACTGCCTTTTTCATTGTAACTCAGTAAAATCTTTTTAATGGGTTCATCTTTCATTACAGTTTGTGGGCGGCAGCAACAAAAAAAAAAAAAAAAGGGAAAAAAGGGGCAAAAAGGGGCAAAAAAGGAGCACTAATTAAGCTGAGCAACCCAGAACAAAATCTAAATAAAATATAAATAAAAGAAATTATTCACAATAAAGAACCAAAATAAATTATTCATGAAAATGCAATATACAGGAGGAGAATGCAAGTAGCATCCACAAGTAATTATTTGCAGCCTGTAACTCCTGTTCCTTCTTTTCCTTTTCTCATTCTTCTTGCTCACATGGTGCAACTTGTCAGAAGGATGTTCTCTGTTCTTCATTCAGAGCAGGATCTGGGATTCTCTCCTTGGAGTTCAGAGCATCAAGCTGGAAAAAAAATGCCACGGTGGGGACTTTTTGAGGGTCTTAATGTTGTGCTGAGGACTTGGGGTGTGGAACTGTTCAGCCAAACTGGTGCTGTGGGTCAGACCCTGGGGTTTCCGTGGGTCTGAAGGAATTTGGGATCTCCTGTAAGGAACACCAGGGTGTTTCCCACGGCCTTTCCATGTGTAAAGGGGACACAAAGGAAGACAGAGAGAGACATTTTTCCAAGACATGTCGTGACAGAACAAGGAGCAGCAGTTTGAACCTGAAAGAGGGTGGGTTTAGGCTGAAAATAAAGATGAATTTTGATGCAATAAGGGTGGTGACGGTGGAATAGAGAAACCTCGGGTGCCCCATCATTTGTGTTGTCAATCAAGCTGACAAATGCAAATTTGTGTAGAAGCATGACAGAGTACCTCTTAAACTCTTTATAGCTCTCATTAAAGTTGATTACAAGAACTTTGCACAAGTCCTCAGGGGTGTCACACCACCTGCATAAAAAGATGAATCCACATCCCCCTCCAGTTTGAAACATCACAACTCTTGTTGCTTCCTGGGACTAATTCATGATCACAAACTCCCCCTCTGCTGCTGTGAATTGAATGCTGTGTTTTAGGGAAGAGCATCAGTGTTATGGAGCTTAATCTGAACCCTTCTAGAGCCACAAGCAGAGTCACATTCTGGAAGAACATCAATGACCCTTAGGAAATCTAGAAATTCTTGAGTGCCTTTAGTTCAAGGTCCTGAATGCTGGTCTAGAAAAGACTCAGGTGAGTAAGGATTGGATAAATAGTGTTTTAATGGAGCAGCTGATGAGGCCCAGAGTTGATGCTAAGCCTGTTCTTTATGGATGTTCCCCATTATTTGAGTGTGCTCCCCTAGTTTTAACCAGCACTGGGTTGGGAGGTTATCAATAATGCCACTGAAAGTGGTTTGTTTGTGCCACTTGGCAGCAATTCCTGAAAAAACGAATGCTGTAACCCAGCAGAGGTCAGTAAAGAGGCAGAGGATGTGTGAAAGAGCTGGAATTCCAAAGGAAAAAAAACCCTCTGTATTTTGACTGAAAGGTTTCTTGTGCTCATGCCTTGTAATTTGTGTCTGCACATCACTCAGGATGGGATGAAAAGAGCTGTGCTGCCCATCTGAGCTGAAACACGAGGATTTACAGTGGGAATGGAAGGGAGGCACTGACAGGACTGTATCCTTGCAGCTTCTCCTGATGGAACCTGTTCTTTCTCAAGAGCAGATCTTATCACTGCCCCTCAAAAAGCATCAGCCTGTGACTCAGGGTTTGCAGCACAGACTTGCTGAATAGAAAGTGATACAATCTGATTTTTCTGTCACACTACACA